CAAAACATCTTTATGACCTACCTTAAATCAGCGATTTCCTAGGATAGTACCCTCTAGCTAGAGGACTCATTTGATTCATTAAATTCCTCTCCAAAAACATTTTAGATAAGCACACTATTTAATTTTTCTCCATCTTTTCAAACTCTTCCAATTGTTTCACTTTAATAAAATTTTAATAGTTTCTAATGTTACAAATTTTTCTTCCTATTCCAAAGTTTCTATTAAAAAGTACACCGGATAACCTGTCAGAACTGGTGACCTGGAAATTAGAATTTTAGAAAAATGTGGACATACCCACACATACACACTCGGAAAGACAGATAATATGTGGGTAATATACAATATGGAGATTTTCTTCCTAAATGAGCACTTTGGAAGTTTGGAATTAAGCAAGCACTAAGAAATCAAGCTATCCTCAAACATTATTTGTCTTTGCTCCTCTTGTTTCCAATGCAAGACCAATTCTTAACTTCAACCCTTATTGTGTTTGCATGATAAATGCTTTCACGGTCACTTAGTTTTATTTGAATTCACTAATGTCAGACATGTCCCTAAAATCATTATTTCTTCTTGCTAATACAAGAGAGTTTCCTTTTAAGGTAAATGTTTATGTTGTCTACATCCATCCTCTCTTTCTCCATATATATCGAGTTGAATAAATGTCTAGAATTCTTACGTCTCAAATTATTAAAGTATGTTAAAAATTAAAATTTCATTATAAATATGTTACATGTGATAAAATTCATTATTTGAAATATGAATCAAGATAACTTTTGTCCAGAAATATATCAGTCATTTTAGATACTTTTTGCAATTCACTGAAAATAACTTAGCTATTAATAAGTCAGATCCACAAGAGAGTTTATGAAATAAAAGTGTATCTCAGAAAATGTGTGTCAAAAAAGTTAGGGTTTGGGGCGCCTGGGTGGCTCAGTTGATTAAGCAACTGCCTTCGGCTCAAGTCATGATCCTGGAGTCCCCTGCTTCTCCCTCTGACCCTCCTCCCTCTCATGCTCTCTGTCTCTCATTCTCTCTCTCTCAAATAAATAAAACCTAAAAAAAAAAAAAAAAGGGTTTGTTAGAAATGTCTATATATGGGGAACATAACATTCAGAATGAAAAAAGTACTGAAAGGGGAAAACTAGGATCTCAAAAGGAAATATACAGCTAAATTAACAGTTCTTGGTAAGGAAGGGAGTATTTTTAAATCAAATATGCATTTTGGTGATGAGTAAATGGGCAGCCTCACCTCACTGCTAACATAAAGATGAATAACTAAGTCAAAATTCTCGGGCAAGTCAATGTATCTAAAAATTCAAAATGCTACTGATAGAAAATTTGATTAAGAAATTCTCAAAGAGTAACATTTCCCCGGAGACAGTCAAGCGGAATGTCAGCTCTAAGTATATTATATACCTTAATTAGGGGGCTGGGGTCTCAGCCTCCCTTGCTCACCAACAGATGGTTATTGGAAGAGATTATTCATTGGGCCCTCTGAGAAATTCAGTAAGAAAAAATGTGATCAGAGTCTGCAATCAATTTAAGGTTAACTAATATACTCTGGACTAGTGTGTGAGTTCATATCTGTTAACAACTTAAAACAGTACTTTGTACATAGTAAATGTTCAATAAACATTACTGTTAATTAACAGCAATAATAGTGGCAGCTAAATTCTCTGGGATAGATCACAAACATGCAAGGTGAGCCCAGATAAGGAAGAGCTAAGTATGGCCAGTGACAAGGAAAGGCTTTAAAGGAAGGGAATTTTGAGCTGATCTGTAGAAGTATACTGAGACAAAGAAGAGAGGGAATTGCTTGAGCAAAGGAATAGAGGTGAGAAGGAGAGAATGAAGGGAACCTTACTCAGAAGTACATTTGGCATACCTGTTCCTTATTCTTCTGCGTCCTAACCTCCTAAGTAGAGGGCCGACAGCACAAGTGTTTAGCTATAAAAGATGTGCATGCTAATATTAGGATTGAGGTTGAAATGGTCTACGTGTGCTCAGATCATGAAAGGTCTGAACTTCTTGGCAGAGGAGAGGAGGTCAGGAGGGCCATCATAGATTGTGGAGTACAGTAGGGATAAAGTATTCAAGTTCAGGCTCTAGAGCAAGCAGTCCTGGCCTTGAATTTGAGCTGTCCTCTATTCACTGGGTCTCTGCCTAGTAGCTTAACTTCTCAGACCTTCCATGTTCTTATTTGTAAAATGGAGATGACAGTATCTGCCTAATCCTGTACGAAAATGAACGTTAAGTGTTGAGCACACTGCCTTTCAGTAAAGCGAGGATTCTCAGTAAAGGCCAGCTATTATTCATTACGAGTCTGGGTTCTAGGTGATGAGGGCTGTGTAGGAAGAGCAAGTCATTCTAACACTCGAGAAGAAAACGTCCATTGGGACACTCGGACTCCCAACGACTCTGAGCTTAGTGATAATCTAAGTTACAAAGTTCAAAACAAAGAAGTTAGACTGGGTTTCTAAGCATCAAAATTGTGCTCCTCAAATGATTTCAAACATGCAATTATCACAATACATATAACACTGATAATGTATCTACCTCCCTCTTAAAATCACTCTTATTCTGTTACCAAAGCAAGAGTTCAAAAGCTCAGGAAGTAGAGAGTGTCTAAGTCTTCGATTGACTCAGAAGTGACTTTAGCAGGCTTGCAAATTACCACTTTGTAACAAACAAAACAAACAAAATCTCCATAAATCAAGAAAAATTTACTGAAGACTGCCAAATGGGCAAACATCCTAACTGTGGAGAAGATTCAGTTATAAGCCAAACTTTTTTTTTTTTTTTAAAGATTTTATTTATTTATTTGACAGAGAGAGACACAGCGAGAGAGGGAACACAAGCAGGGGGAGTGGGAGAGGGAGAAGCAGGCTCCCCGCCGAGCAGGGAGCCCGATGCGGGGCTCGATCCCAGGACCCTGGGATCATGACCTGAGCCGAAGGCAGACGCTTAACCGTCTGAGCCACCCAGGCGCCCCTGAAGAGTTTTAAGTTAAGAGAATTCATCTAAACAGGTAACAGACTTTCTCCATCTACTAAAACGTGATCTCCTTAACTGAGCAGACTACTGGGAATGTGAAGATGTAAAAACTTAGGAGCTGTTGGGTGTACTTGACTCATTCTGCTTTGTGTAACTGGAACTTAACACTGCTTGGGGCTGACTTCTGGACTAGGGGTTCACAGTCCTGGGCTCCAGCGTTGTTTGTGCCCCTTAACACTCCTGTCACCTCAAACATCTATCAAGGGCTGCTTAAGAATGCCACAATACCTCTTTTTAAGAGAAGATTATAAAAGAATGATTAAGTGCAAAGGAGAGAGATGTCCTTTGCTAGTTTACCTTTTTCTTGGGCTTGAATGATTAGAATAGAGTTAGGATTTTATTTTGGGCTAAGAAAACAAAAACATTTTGTGAGGGTTATACCTATGGGATTTTTTTCCTCAATCATGTGTTATCTATCATTGAAGAGCAAAGAGTATCAGCTTAAGTTGACAAAGCTTGAGGGGCAGAAGAAAGGGTAGCCAAGGAAAGCAGACACTGGAAGAGAATATGACCAAAGCCTCTGAAATAATAAATCAAAGCAGCTAATAAAAGCTAGTCTTCTTCCCGATGGACTCTGAAAAACAAACTGAGGGTTCTAGAGGGCAGGGGGGTGGGAGGATGGGTTAGCCTGGTGATGGGTATTGAGGAGGGCACATTCTGCATGGAGCACTGGGCGTTATGCACAAACAATGAATCATGGAACACTACATCTAAAACTAATGATGTAATGTATGGGGATTAACATAAGAATTAAAAAAAAAAAAAAAGCTAGTCTTCTTCCAAAACTTCAGCCCAAACTCTGATACACAGATGGAAGATGCTTTTATAAACACCAGTCTTTAAGTGGAACCAGGCTGTGTCATAAAAAATGAGTACATGTTGAAATGAAGCAGATAGAATTTTAACTATTTTTTAGGTACCCCAACAGGTTGGTACCAAAAAAAAAAAAAATTGGGCTTATTTATTCATCTTAACAATTTATATATTTATCTTAGTACCACTTAAAGTTACAGTATATAGAAAAGAAGCGAATACCAAAAGATTCTTTTCCTGTTTCAAACAAGAATGTTTGGGAATAACAATCATGGAAATACTACTTTTGGATTAAAAAAAAGTAGTACAGGGGAAGATAAATAAGTTTTATTACAGGAAGCTAATCCTTGTGATCCAAATATTTCAGTTTTCAGTTTCCGAAACCAGAAGAGTTTATAGGCCCAACAATGTGCAAATCCTATTATGAACATGAATCTGTTAAGAGGATAGTCACAACCCAATATTTGAAGTGTTTGATATTATTATATATTCATTGTGCTCCCCCACCCCACTCCTAAACCCCCCCTCTCTCTCAAACAAAAAAAGAATGTTTAACAACTTTGTATCAAGTTCCCAAGCAAAGTCAGTCTTTAAGGGGAAAGATAAATCATATTTCATGTTTTCCACCACGTTTCCCCTCTCTTGAGGGGAAACAGTGAAGGGATGGGAGAAAGACACCCTGAAGCTCTGAATCAAATGACAAAACACCCATCACCGTGAAGGTAACGACCGGATGACATCCAGGTGGCAACTTCATCTTCACACACGTCACGCAGAAGTAGGGCAACAGAAATAAAGCTTAGCGCTGTTTCCTGACCTGCTTCAGAGGTCTGACCGCCTGCCCCAGACCTCCCTTGGGAATGATGAAGCTCCAATCCTTCACATCCCCACCGGACTGCAAGCTGCAGTTCATTCCTAAAGGGCTGCCGTGCCTTTTCCTCTAACACAGCATCGGAGAGAAGGAGGGGGAAAAAAAAAAAAAAAAAAAAAAAGCGACCGGGCGCCCCCGAAAGAATTCCAGCCACAGGGCCGTCCGTCCACGCTCAAGACCCACTCGAAACCGGTCCCTGGCAGAGACGCTTGGGCTGCGCGCTCTCGGCCGCCGGGGCCGGGTCCCTGCGGAGAATACTTACTGGGCTGCGCCAACTTTGCTCTCTCTCTTCGCGAGCACTTTGGCAGGCTTTGGGTCTTCCACATCTTGCTGGAGCTCGGTCATCGGGGCCGCGCGCGGAGGGCACCTTCAGGCGTCCCCCCCCAGCGGCTGCCAGCGCCCGGCGCGCAGGCCCTGCGAACCGCGCCTTCCCCGCGCCTTCCCCGCGCCTTCCCCGCGCGCTCAGGCGCTCGGCGCTTCCAGGCCGGCCCGGCGCGGCGCGGCGCGGCCCGGCGGCGCCGCCTACCTGGACACGTCCGGCCGGCGGCGATTGGTCGGCGCCGGCGCGCGAGCCGGGGGAGGGAGGGGGCGGGCCGAAGCCAAGTGACGGGCTCCCGCCCCAACCCGGGAGGCCCCGGCCGCGTGCGAGGAAACCTGTTGAACGAGTCTGGCTCGGGGAAGGAAGCTCATTGGCCGTGCAGGTGAAACAGTGGCCTAACTAGGCTCCGTAGACTTAGCCTCCTGGTAAGTGGGGCTGTTTGCCCTCCCCGACTGTAACCGGGGGGGGGGGGGGATGGGGGGGTGTTTGAGAAACGGGCGGCCTGGCTGCAGCGCCAGGAAATGGTTACGCCTGAGCGAGGCGCTCTCTCACACGGATGCGCCGTGTGGGCTGGCCTGGGGCCCGGCCTAAATGATTCAAACAGGATGTTGCCTCATTGGGGCCTGCTCCGTCGGGGCTTCAACGATAGGTCGCGAGACGTGGTGGTCCCTGGTGGTTGTCTGGTTAACCCTGCCCCGGGCGGGGGCGGGGGCGGGGGCGGGGTGGGGGCGGGGAGGCGTTCATCACAACCTCCTTAGCCGCTCGGCTCGGACTGCGCCCCCGCCCACGGACACGAATGCCTCTTCTTCCAGCTGTTTGGTGAGGTTTGGACGTGGTGGGGCCGTCTGAAGTTTTGCATTTTTTTTTTTTTTAAGATTTTATTTATTTATTTGAGAGAATGAGAGAGAGAGAGCACATGAGACGGGGGAGGGTCAGAGGGAGAAGCAGGCTCCCCGCCGAGCAGGGAGCCCGATGCGGGACTCGATCCCGGGACCCTGGGATCATGACCTGAGCCGGAGGCAGACGCTTAACGACTGAGCCACCCAGGCACCCCTATTTATTCTTCTCAAGCCTGGAATACATTTTAGTTTTTTTTTTTTTTTTAAGATTTTTTATTTATTTATTTGAGAGAGAGAGAATGAGAGAGAGCATGTGAGGGGGGAGGGTCAGAGGGAGAAGCAGGCTCCTCGCCGAGCAGGGAGCCCGATGCGGGACTCGATCCCGGGACTCCAGGATCGTGACCTGAGCCGAAGGCAGTCGCCCAACCAACTGAGCCACCCAGGCGCCCCATTCATAGTATTGTTTTTTTTTAAGATTTTTTTAATTTATTTATTTTTGAGAGAGAGAATGAGAGACAGAGAGCACGAGAGGGAGGAGGGTCAGAGGGAGGAGCAGACTCCCCGCCGAGCAGGGAGCCCGATGCGGGACTCGATCCCGGGACTCCAGGATCATGACCTGAGCCGAAGGCAGTCGCTCAACCAACTGAGCCACCCAGGCGCCCTGAAGTTTTGCATTTCAGACATCATTTATCTCACAGATTTTTGAGAACCACCACGTTCCAGGTATCATTCGACGCATGCCCTTAGGATACCAAGTAAAGTATGTGTTGGTGGTTTTCTACTTCTCTGCGGAGTAGTTGAGAAGAAGAGTAGTGTAAAACCTACTTGTTGGAAGCCCGCATTTACTTTAAAACAATGACAAGTGGCGACAGTAGCTCGTGACGTGGCTGGGGGAAAAAAATCACTAACTCTGCTCTGGCCGGGACGGCACGTCCTTCGTTTTTCTTTTAAAATTGATTTTAGGTTTCAGAATAAGTACAAAGACTACAGAATCCTAGTGTTTACGTGTGTGTATGTATATGTGTGTATGTATGGTGTGTGTAAAAGAAAACACCAACCCTTTCAGATGATTGCGTACATTTTGGGGATCAGTTCCCGTCCAAAGCTTTCTTTTTCCCTCTGCATTTAGTAGCTGTGTGATTAGGCTGAGAGAACAAAAGCATCTTTTTGTAGCCTGCCTGCTCCAAAATGGATTCTCTTGACACTTGAAAAATAAAAGTAGAAGAAAAATGTTTATGTAGATTCCATGAGAGTTGGCCTGATAGGTTGTGCGTGCTCTCTCTCTCTCTCTCTCTCCCTACCCCCTATTTTTTTAAAAAGATTTATTTATTGACACAAATGCACCCCAATGTATGTAGCAGCAATGGCCACAATAGCCAAATATGGAAAGAGCCCAAATGTCCATCTACAGATGAATGGATAAAGAAGAGGGGGTGTATACATATAAACAAGGGAATATTACTCAGCCATCAAAAAGAATGAAATCTTGCCATTTGCAATGACATGGATGGAACAAGAGGGTATTACGCTAAGCGAAATAAGTCAGTCAGAGAAGGACAAATATCATAGGATTTCACTCATATGTGGAATTTAAGAAACAAAACATGAACATAGGGGAAGGGAAGGAAAAATAAAATAAGACAAAATCAGAGAGGGAGACAAACCGTAAGAGACTCTTAACTGTAGAAAACAGATTGAGGGTTGCTGGAGGGGAGGTGGGTGGGGGGATGGGGTAACTGGGGGATGGGCATCAGGGAGGGCACTTGATGTAATGAGGACTGGGTGTTATATGCAACTGATGAATTACTAAACTACCTCTGAAACTAATAATACACTATAGGTTAATTAATTGATTTTAAATTAAAGAAGATGTTAGTTGAAAAAAGGATTTATTTCTTTATTTTGGTGAGGGGGGAGAGAGAGAGAGAGAGAGAGGGCAGGAGTGGGAGGGGCAGAGGGAAAGGGGTAAAGAATCTCAAGCAGACTCCTGGCTCGGCATGGAGCTGGAGGCAGGGCTGAACCTCACCATCCTGAGATCACTACCTGAGGGGAAACCAAGAGTCAGAAAGTCAACCGACTGCGCCACCCAGGTGCCCCCCCATTTTTTGGGGGGGGAGCTCCTGACCAGTGACCCCTGTGGAAGCCTGGCTGGGTGTGGTGGGGAAGGCTCTGGGTGACCTGAAGGTTGCAAGCTGTCTCTTAGGTGTCCTTAGCTGGCTTTTCCTGGGGACATTACACCTTCAGCCTCCAGGTCCCTTCTCTAGCTACCCCTCCTACTAGGGGATAGGTGTGGGCCTGAAATGTAGGTGAGGTTATCATCCTCCTAACTTCTGGGTAGTGACTCTTTCCCTAAATCTCACGTGTCTGCTACAGCTCAAAGGAGAGCTCAGTTTTTGCCCCCAAATATTTTTTTTGATTGCAGTAAAATATACATAATATTTATCATTTTAGCCTTTGTTAAGTATACAGTTAATGCCACTGAACAATTCAGTGGCTTTAAATATAATCACAGTGTGTGTAACAATTACCACTGTCTATACCCAAAACGTCTTGTCATACCCAATATCAACTCTATACCCATTCAACAATACCCCCTCCTCCCCTCTTCCCTGTCTCTGGTAACCTCTATTCTACTTCCTGTGTCTATGAATTTGTCTGTTCTGGATACTTCATGAAAGTGCAGTCATATATTTGTCCTGCTGTGTTTGACTCATAATCGCTATATATAATGTTTTCAAGGTCCATCCAAGCTGTAGCATATCTCAGTACTTCATTCTTTTTTATGGCTGGATAATATTCCAGTGTATGTATATTCCCCATTTGTTGATCCGTTCACCTGATGATGAACACTTGGGCTGAGTTTACTGCCTTGTGGTTCTTGTGAATATGCCGCTGTGAACATTGATGTACAAATACCTGTTTGAGTCCCTGCTTTGAATTCTTTTCGGTAAATACCTAGGAGTGGAATTGCTGGTCAGATGGTAGTTACATGTTTAACCTTTTGAGAAACCTCAGTCAGGCCCCTTTGGATGCATGAATAAGGGCAAGTGCTCAAAACTTCCTCAGCATGGGCTTACAGCTCAATTAATGAGCACGTGAGTACCCTAAAACTTACTCTGTAGTGTGTGGGATGAAGACTTACAATAATGTGGTCTTAAATGAGAAAGGAGGGGAGGGGGATGGGTGTAGGGGCAGGTGGAAAAAATAGCACATAGTCCTTTCCTAGAGTGGGGAGGAATTAGAAAGGAGCAAGTAAGGAGCAACTGGGTGGCTCAGTCCGTTAAGCATGGGCCTTCAGCTGAGGTCATGATCCCAGGGTCCTGGGATCTGATCCCACATCGGGCTGCTTGCTCAGAGGGGAGTCTACCTCTCCCTCTGCCTGCCACTCCCCTGCCTGTGCTCTCCCTCTCTGTCAAATAAATAAAATTAAAAAAAAAAAAGAAAGGAGCAAGTAAACTATTATTTTACTTAGTAACATTTGCCTGTGTTTAAAAGACATTGTCAAACAGCTTCCTAATTTGATTATTCATAGGGTTATTATACAATAAAATGGAATGCAGTATTTAAAAGGCAGTATTGGCAAACATTAGGGGAGGAGTTCTGGCTGTTACTTTTTCCAGTTACCGAACCAGGTCCAGTAGAAAATGCCTAATCCATCACTTTTCAGGAGGTAGGAGAGTTCTACCTAACTGCTTGGAATATCGATCAAAATTGGTTTCTTTTTCACGTTGATCAGATACACTGTACATCTGTCCATAGTCTCAGAGGCAGAGTTCAAATATGAGCTTGGAGATTTGAGTGAAGATAATGGTGCAATGTATGGGTCCAGTAATTACCTAATTTATAACACACGGCAGGCTATGTACTTATTAGCCAATGTAGGTACATATCAAGTATCATCACATACCTGGGATTTTGTGCCTGTTGTGTGATGACATGTTTAAGAAGGTGGTTGATGCTCTTATCAAGGTATAACCTGTAATAATTTAACTATGCATAATATTCAATGTATCAGTGTCCTAAGTCAAAGAATTTCATGAGCACTCATCAGACCATTCCTGTTTTCAATTTAAGTTCAATATTCAAAGGAGAAAATGGAAAAACACAGAGTTCAGAAGCGAGCCATACAGTGACACTGAAGAATTTGATTTTCAGACTTCTAAATAGAGTTTTAAGAATGAAAGTTGAGAAGCATTATGTGAAGGGGACCTTTACTGAGATGAAGGGCATTCCTGATGAGTACAGCCATTAAACATTGCAATGGGAATCTATAGTAGGGCATGGAATCTGCTACTCTGTAGCTTTTGAAAATAATATAAAGAAAAACTATATAGAATGGTTGTAAACCAGTATTTCCCAAGTCAGGTTATACTGCAGATGGAGAAATTTGAAGTACTCTCTTCCTCTCTAGGGATGAAGCACCATCCAAGCTTAGCACCCGTGTTTGGAGAAATGGACAAGGTGGTAAGGGTTTACTGGTCTAGGAATAGGTAGTTGGCACACATTAGCATAAAATCTGGTTCTGTGAGAAAGCAGAAGCAATAAAAAACTCTTCCAGTCCAGTATTATTTAAAAATTAAAATACACCATGCCCCATAAGTAAGACATTAAAATCAATCCTGAAGTTTTAAAGTAGATGTGTTTTCTACATGGTTAATGTCACGGATCACATGTGATGTAAGGAGGCCTCTGAGACCATCCAGTATCGCGGTTTTCACACCAGGTTCCGGGGGAGTCGGGGTGCTTTGAACCAGAGAGAGAAGGAGCTGGTGTTTGAATGTAGGTCTTAAAACGCCAGCCTCCCTCATCCCGCCACTCAGACACACGGCCTCTCCTGCCTCTGCTAGACCGCTTCCACTTCATCTCTCTTGTGCATTTATGTTCTGTATTGGGTTCTATTTCAGGGAGGGGGAGAGGGCTGCCTGCCACACACTAAACAAAATCGAAAAATAAAATCTACAGTCATTTTTCAGAGAAGAG